TTTGCATTTGAAAAGACAAGGCAATCGTCGATTTTCCTCGACCAATGGCGTAGCATAACGTCAACGGGATGCAGAGTTTGCATATGAAAAGGCGTATATAGTAACGTAACGGTTCGTAACATGTTAATTGGTGTCGTGTGGTTGTCCGGTTGAAATATTTCTTCCAACGAAACCTTATGTAAATTAGGACTCGTCTATAAAACACTCTCGACGTTGAATCATATATAATATTTTCCTTTAAAAAAATGTCGTTCTAAATAGCCTCGATATGAAATGGAACTTTTTCAGCTGACTTTCCTCGAGTTCTCTAAAAATAAACTTTTTATAAATCAATTTTCTCGTGGATTAAAAATATATCTACAGACACGTTGCGTAAATAGAGCGCCACCCATGCGATATGATGGTGAAAGCCTTGTTTAATTATTTGAGTTAAATTCGATAAATGGACTTGCGAAACGTTAGGAAGGTTATATTTCAGATACTGTTCCGATCCTAGTGTAGGTAATCGATTAAAGTATTATCGTCGCGGAGGCCATGAATACATTGTTATCGATTCGTTAACGATCTTGCGCGTCTTCAATCGCCCGATTTGCAGAATCCACGAACCAGCCCGAGTACGTGTAAATAGCGGAGAGAAAGCTAATTTCAGGAACAGTTATATCCCATTCCAGCTTCGCCTTTATCGATGTCTCTCTCTCCTTCTCTCTTTCACTCGTTTCCAATTTTGTACACGCCGGGATTGCCGTTCGTTATAACGCGTTGCAAATACGCTGTTTAATCCGCCTTCCACTCTAGAGTACACTTGTTCTCTATGAAATTACGTTATTACAGGCGGTTGGGTATAAATTGGTAATCAATGTCACGGATGCGAATAGAAATCGTATAACGGCGAAGAAAAGTACCATTTTTAACTGGCCATACTTTCCATTGAACTATTTTCTAACGTTACACATTTTCCAAACTAATCGGTTCTTAAATTATCCTAGCTGCGAGAAAGACCCCGACGAACTGAATAGAAGTAAAGCGTTTAAGGTAAAAACGACAGGTGTTAGAATTCGTATCGATTTCCTAGGAAAAAAACTAGAAACCAGGCGGCCCAAAATTGGAATAGGACATAACTGTTCCTCGAATTAATTTCCGGACGGCCGTATGAAGTTCCGTTCGTCGATAAATTTCGGATATTGCGCGACGACGGATCGATCGATGACCCATTTGACGGTGTTTCTCGCCGATAGAATCGTTTCCACGCTCGATCTTCAATGTGCCTCGAGTATATGTACCAGTGCCGGACGCCTCGGATTGTTTCACGAGGATCGAATTTAAACGACTCGGCGGGGGCTACGGTGGTTCGTTCTAGGAGAAATGAATCGCTTCGGGGTCAAGAAATCAGCCTCTCCGTAGACTTCGCAATTTGTTTCAATTACATCGTCCAGATTTCGACGGGGTCTCTCGAGGCCGACCGCGACCGTGTAACTGGGTTGGTTTTTCGATCTCGCAGCCCTTAATTGGAATCTCGTAAAATGAGAACGAGATACACTATCTTGTGCCACGGATTTTATGCTTCCGTAACGTAGCTGAATGGACAAGGAGCAATAAAACGTGGAAAAATTAACGTTTCATTTTATATCCCGTTCTATAAAACAACATAGAGGAATTCAAACTTGCATAACTATTTAGAGTCGATTAATTATATCAATACAGAGACGTTTCTTTGACTTTTACTAATCCTTCAGCCTCTTGTACTTGATTCTTGTAGATTTTTAAATGTCTTCATCGGTAGATAAAAGCTTCGTGGAGTCTGCCCGATTTTTCAAATCGTCGCGTTCGATTCGACGCGATAAACCGGGTTTCAGCCGGCATTTCTATGCAGTAACACCGAAGAGGCAGCTTGAAACGAGTGTCGGTGGTTTTAAGGGCTTGTCGACGGGTGTATCTCGTTTTCACTGGTCCGCTTGGCGCACGTGGAGCCCATAAGGCGATGGTATGCGAGAACGGAGCGGTTGAAACCGACTCGGTACACTCGTAAAAATTCTATCTAACAGCATCCGGTCTGCCGTCGTCCTGTTTGGCTCGATACCACCCCGGGGATAATATAGAGATTAGGCGAATGTGTCAACGGCCTGGCTGTAACGAGGCAACCGTTTCGCTGTTCGCCCTCGCAGCTGGAAATCCGGCTATCGAATCGAAGGATCGAGTAGGCGATGCTTTTTGTTTTCTCGGCTGTCTCCGATGGTATTGGCGAATCCGTCGATATACAGTAATATACACAATCAGTAAACCGTATGCAAATTCATTGTTATATTCGTTCACGTGATGTTATCGAGTTATCGCGACAATCATTGTTAACGAGGAGTTTCTTTGACATTGAATATTCAAAGATTTGTATTACATAACGAAAGGGACTGGAGCAATTAACTTTGACATTTCTTTTAATTCAAAAGTGTCATCATCCTTGACGTAAATGGCGTGGGGTTTGTAAAGAAATTCGTCCGACTCGTCTGGTTATTTGATTTCTTGGAAGGGCATAGAAGCCAGCCCGGTTTGTAAGGTCTTTGGAGAGGGTCGGGAGTGTTGAAATTCATAGTGGCGTATCGGGACAGGAAATGAAAAATTACGGAACAATCGATCAGCGTCTGCCGGTCTGACCTCTTTAACTGTTTTATCAAGTCGTCGGGTACGGATTAACCGTAGTGGCGGTGGCAGATACCCGTCGTGAATCATGCTCGAAGTCGGTACGTTACAATACGATTACCATAAACTAACCATTATTCAATTATTATCTATTACCAAAGTTAATTTTCTCCTAACCGTGGTTGTCTAAATATTTCTTACACTTCCGATCGTTCAGCTCGTATTAAAAACTAACCACGTGAATTATTGTTTCTTCATGTTCGTATAAATAGAGCACACATTATGCTTTTACGATATCTATTGAAAAGACCGGTCAGAAAAACAGAAGAATCGTAGATACGAAGGATTACTAATACGAAACCGAAAAGTCTAAAGTCCTCGGTTTTATGGTACGTGTGTGGTACAGTGAAAGTGAGATGAGAAGGCAATAATCTACGTGACATTGACCTCGTAAGCGGCCGAATTAGCCGACGATTAAAAAAATAAGTAAGAAATGTATATTAAATTTCGCAAGGTGTAACGAATTAACTCGCCATTGTACGCCGTATCTACGATACAATCTTCGATAAGTTTTCTATTTATAAAACCGACCGTTTTCCGACTAGTACGGGCGTTAAGTTCGTGACGAGTTCTTGTCGTGTGTGTCGGGTTAAAAGTACACGAGAGTGTTCTGTGGATGCAGTGGAAACCGCATATGTCGATAAAAATCGAGTTCCGTTGTAGACCGAGTGTAAGGTTACTCATAGCGCGCGGCACAAACACGTGTACTTAATGGAAATCCAACGATATCGGATATTTTCTAGCCACTGTTTTCCTTTATCCGCTTCTACATCGCGTGTGAAAATTGACTCAGTATTAACATTTCACTGTTTGTCCCTGAGGTTCTCGTGTATTTTTTTTCTTCGCACACTGTTAAACGAAAGGAAATATTTGCTTAGATTATCGATAATATAGGACGATGAAGCCCCTGTTTCGAGTTTGGTTCGCAGATGTCCCTACAAGCCCATTGAACGCAGGAATTGCCCCACTGATCGGATTTCTCTGTAAATATTGTGCGTACATAACCGGGGACAGGATTGCCAGTGTATAACTGAGTCAGTCTCTTGTCCAGTAATAAATCAGAAGGGGATCAATGGATCAAATAAAATGGCAAACAGCGTGATTCAAGTGTAATTTCATACCACACGGAGGGGTAGGGGAGGCGATGCATTAAAAGAAAATATTGTCCTCTGAAACACAATATTTCAGTCGCCATCTTTACGGGCCAAGTATAGAGAACGGTCAGGGAACAGTCAGCTCGAATAAAATCGACGAACAATGCTCGTCCTTATTCCCAGCTTTGCTTCGTAACGAGAAGAAAGGGATCCTTCATCGCCGATCGATACGAATTCACATTAGACTTAGGAGTCTGTGCAGAGGCTAGATGAACGCATGGAATCGCGCAATTTTACCGCGATAGGGTCACTTCTAATTAATCGGCGAGTGAACGAAAGAAAAAATGGTCGATCGCCGTTAACCGCTTTGGAAAATAACAGACCCTCCGGGTCGTCGTCGGACGGTATTAAACGATAGACACTGGCGGCAGAACCTGTTATTAGACGCACCGTGGCGCTCATTTACATCATCCCCTTGATATCCAATTATCACGCGGTTACTTAAACGGCCCGGCGGCGTCAATAATAAAAGTGTTGCACACACATACACGTACAGCGAGGCACGGTTGTTCACGGTCCAGCTGGATGATATTTATCGTTCGCGTAAATGTTAAGCGGCGTCAGAGGTCGTCCCGGCGTGGTACACGTTTATTATTAATGGAACAATTAGCTTCGCGGGTGTTAAGATGCTATCGGTGCCTGTTTGACTCTTTAATCAGCGAGAGCAAACGAGCCACGCTCGATCGTGCGCGCTGCGCCGCGAACCGTCGCCGGTGAATGTCAGCTCCGCGCGCACGCCGAGAGATTCTTGTTAGAGATGTCCGGAGAATCTTAATTATTCGGGTAAAATTCGTGTCGAACTATCTCACCTTGTTAACCCTTTGCACTCGGAATTTCCTAATTCACCTTACACTTTGTCCCTTCAATGGGGACAGTCGAGTGCAAGGATTAATATACTATAGAGGAGATTTTCTGGAATATCAGGATCAGGTCGATGGGTCTCTGTATGATCGAAGACTCGGGATCGCTTTTCAACATTTCGGGACAAGCTTTCTGCTCTTCATGAATTGTCACTTGATCAACTGCATTTCGGGGCGGATGAAGCAAAAGTGTTTAATATAGAAATACTTCGGAGCAGTTATCGAGAATTTACTGTATTTCGCATTTCACGAGATAATCGCAGTTTGTTTAATATCCCTAATTCTGTTGTTGCAGCACGCGAACAACGTACGAAAGTCGGCGGCCGAGTATGTGGCGCGTCGTCAGGCGAGGAAGATCTCGATGACACGATCGATAACCTCGTCGCTGGCTATGCCGATGAGCCAACTGAGCGACGTGGCCTTCCTGCCGAACGCGAAGGCCGGCACGTTCTTCGCCCGCGACAACGTATCCAATTTCATCGGCTGGTGCCGTAACAGCCTCGGGATCATCGAGTGTCTGCTCTTCGAGACCGACGACCTGATAATGCGGAAGAACGAGCGTCACGTGATACTCTGTCTGCTCGAAGTCGCGAGACGTGGCGCGAAATTCGGTATGCTGGCGCCGATGTTGGTGCAGATGGAGAGACAGATCGACAGGGAGATCGCGGCCGACAACAAAGCGGCGAACGGGGCCCATGGAAACTCTGGGAACGAGGAGAGCGACGACGAGTACGCGGACATGCAGCAGGAGGAGCCTTGCCTGATATACGGGCCTCAGCCCCAGATCGTCACCAATGACCTGAAGAGCCTCGACGAAATGGTGAGTGTTTCGTTGAATTTTCGTAAGTACAGTAAATCATCGATGAATGTTTATACGTCATCCCCACCATTGGTCGCTTGACTAGTTCCACGTGGGACCTCTCCCCCCCTCCCAGTGGAGGGGATGACGTCTGAACACTCAGGAGCCTTCGAACACTCATCGATGATTCACTATATTTCTCTGCCTCGCAAGAAACCACGCGAGCGCGCTAATGGTCGTCTTTGAAACTATTCGAAAGCAATGATCTGCCATGCGAGATAGCGATCGCGGAAAAATCGTAAAGTATTTACGATCGGTGGTAACCGAGAACTGTACACCGGGGATCGGTTCAATCGGTCAAACAGAATGAGCAATTACGCCCGTTCTACCCACGGTCGCATTAGCGACGCCGGTGCGTAACATTTAGCGAGTGATTTAATGCTCATTATCCATTTAGAGGCTCGGAAAACGCTTTGACCGGTAGCTCCGTGTATACCTCTCGCGGCACGGTTTTTGCTTTAGTGTCATGCTAATACGATTTACGAGTCGCGCGCGCGCGCGCGCGCGTGCGCGATATACGACCGGTCCGCGTTCCGGAAAAAAGTTATCAAGCCCAGGGCGTTTTAGACTGTCATTTTACGTGTATACACGGGGTATTTACGGGTGTTCTGTCGAAACTCTTGGGCCACCAGCGGTAGAATTATTCGATCGAAGACAAGGGGAAGGGATACGTTTCTGATACTTGGAAGTTTCGAAGTTTCGCGTAAAGTTCAGCGTAGACAATTTCTCCCCCTCCCCCCTTATCATCCCTTTGACAAGCTATTAATTAATTCTCTGTCCTTTATGAAATTGATGAGAGCTATTATAGGGGCTTGCGTGTCTTCGTACAGGGTTATCTCCAGCGAATAATTGACTACAACCTCGACTATCGCTTGCAGAGGTGCAACACAAAGTGTCAGAATGCAATACTATGAATTAATTTGTGTTCGTAATTTGCATTTCTCTTCTTTTTCCATTAGAGGAACGGAGCTGGTCGGACGGGGCTGGTTGGCCACCCGATAAACATGAATTATGGAACATGAATTATTAGCGCCGCGAAAGGGAGGAATACGTTTATCAAGAATGTTTCTTTTGCCTTTCAACGCTGGAATACGAACGACTACTCTCATATTCCTGATCTCGTGATACTCACGGTCAGCGTGCAGTACCCACCATAAATATTCTCCGATGCACCTAAAGGCGCGACTTGTTTTCATAGTTCGGATATACCTAGATTTTAAACATTCCTACTAACACAATACTTTCAGTGTGATTCATATTGATTGACTAGATTGGACAGACACTGATTCGTTCGTTCCACTATTCAGCCATCCGAATCCATCGATCGCTTTCGAAATAGTCGATCCTAGCACCGGGACTCGTATCCACGTTCAATTGAAACGATTCAACGAACGAAAGTTGTAATGGTCCCACGATAATATCGGGAAACGCGACGTTGGAACGAATTAACGAGCGTTTCTTGTCGCTCGCGAAACGCTCACGGTTCTTTCAGGCCGTGTCAACGGAGCGGAGGCGCGCCGTTAGTTCCACGCTGAAAGGCTCGAAAACACTCGCTCGACGTTTTTTTTTTTCTGTCCACGATGGAGGGCAACGCGCGACACGCGTCGAACAAACGCCGATTCGCGGTTTCACCGGGCAGAAATTCTCTTTCTTGGGCTCTTCTGGTCCCGCGTGTACATATCGCCCCGCGACTAGTTCCCCTCGCACGATGTATTCAAGAATGTCCAGAACATTTTCCCCTCGGTCGAGAATTCCAAACGCACCGGTGAACGTCGCCTGGTACATGCGACTGTTGCATAGATAAATCTCGTGTGGATCGCGCGGGTGCATGCGTTGTATGCAACCAACGTGTTTCCCCTTCGACTCTTGGAGATCGGCCATTAACTGACGTGAACAGGATCAATAGTGAGATTGAACTTGATTTTTCTGTAACCAGTTATCGGTAAATCATATCTGGAAATTTCTCTGAAATTTATTTACTTATACACGTGTGTGTACTCTTCTATACAGGGTGGACCATGAAACGGAAACAGTCTAGATTACTCTATTACTAGCTGTTCGATCGAACATTTTTTTGGCTAATATAACATGATTCAAGGAGGGCTTTAAGGTGATAGATCAGATCAGTGACAGCTAATGCTAACAGCTAAAGTTCGGTGAAGCTCGCAGAATCTTCTAAAATTTTCTTTGATTTAGAGGAGAAACAGATATTTTTTACGTTGCTTGCTTGAAAAGATGGGCCTAAAAAAATGTTTGATCGAATAGCTAGCAGTGAAATCATTTAAGTTGATCACGTTTCGTAGTCCACCCTGTATAGATTCTCCGAGAATCGTTCTTTTATGGTCATAGATTAAACATGAGTCATAGGTAGTATACGTTTCACATTTCGAACGAATAAAAATGGCGGAGTTTTCCCAGGAATACGACAATCAGGCTGTAGGATTTGAAATAACAAAGCTGTCCTATTTACACTCGGCGTCGTTCTCCCAGCTATTCCCGGTATGCTCTTTAAAATACGCTTTGGCATCCGAGGGATTTTACCCACTCGTTTGGCGTTCAACAGAACCCGACCCCGGTCGGACTGCTCTCGCCGCTGAATGGGAAGAGCAAACCGCGGATACGCTCTCGCCAGAAGTACGGATGAAATACTGACGTCGAGATATCCGACACTACGTGTATAACGGGGTCCCTCGGATTTGTACCGAGGAACGTTTGTTCGAGAGGCGGGAAGAGATCGGAGTTTCGCTGTTGGACACAATGGACCTGGTACATAGTACTTTCCTCCTGTTAGAAATCAAATTTATCGTGTTTACGTAACGAAGCGTCGCTTTTCATTGAAATTTTACCGATTGTCAGACTCGAGGAACTTCTTCGGCGAATGTCCCTAAGACGATCCAGACGTGACATAACGAGGCATTGCTACGGCTATTATTATTTCTTTGCTTTCCTGCACCTGGACAATTTGCCAAACGATTATCCGTTCCGATAATCGTCGCTGGATCGTCTGAAATGTCTGATAGGTAGCTGGACAATGATGGTATCGTCTCTGTTGTGTCGAGTTTCTTGGCTGTACGAAGCCGAAAATCTCTAGGTAGCCAGCCGTCTGGTCGTTTCCCATCGCGTAGGGTCGCACGGTTTGTTTGGCGAATTTGCATGGCGAGAGAATGCCGCGTGTCGCGGGAAACGATTTCTTAGGGCGCAACGGAGGATCATATACGGGAGTCGCAGCTGCATCGGCGACGAGATTTATCCGCGTTGCACCGATTGCGTATGAATGCGAAACCAAGCAGAGAGGCAGTGTCACCGGAGTGCCATAAAGGGCAGAACGAAAGGGAAATCTGTACAGGTCGATCGGTCGGGCGGCGAACTTCCAACGGACCACGTGTGTCTATTCTCTCCCCCTCTTCGTGGGAGTCTTGTATGGGTAATTAAATTCACCGTTGTGGGTCATAGAACGGGCGGTGTAAAGTTTCCTCGGCCGCGTGGAAAATTGCGAAAGTGTCCCTCTCAACGCGCATGCTTATTGTTCGGGGTGTATAATGGGAAAAGATGGCGAACCGCCGACGCATTTGGTATCGAGTTGGACACGTGGTGCACGATTGAAAAAGGGAATGGACGAGTTCCGGAGGTTCGTTAGAAAGTCATTCTTGCGGATTCTTGGAACGTTGGACAATGAGAACGACAGTAAATTCGAGATCGTGGTATACTGAAAGAAATTAGGCGAGTCGCTTGATTCACTTTCCTTTCGGTCACGTTGTTAGATCGTGAATGCCTGTTTGTTAGACGAAGATATTGAATGGAAAAAATAGAGAGTACTTGACAATTTTAAATATTAATTCTATTCGATGTAATTTAATTAGGAATGGGTTTCCTTCGTCGATCGAACATCCACGCCCTACAGCTGTGTAATCAGCTGTTGAGACGCAAATTCCGGGTAAAGAGGAACTAAAACCCCCAGGTTGGTTGTGGTATCGATTAGAAGAAAAGGCTGTCAAGCTACTGCCTTATCTTATCCCGACACGGTGAAACACCACGTAATGGTTCAAGTAATGGTGAATCATTGGAATCGCCCAAACTGAAGTAGTTACAGTCAGTACGTCGTCACGCTATTACCAAATACACTCACGCAATTTTAAATAGAAACTTCAAGAATCACGCCTCTCTTGTTGTTAATAAATTCAATGAACAAGAAAACTATTCTTTTCTCGTAAGGTCACACGCGAGTAGTCGGTGTGTTCGCTGGGAAATCCAATAATTTCAACCGAGAATCGCGGTTACGTAGAGCTTCCGTGGTGGTTCAACGAGCCTCGAGGAAGAAATCAATTCGTCTAGACTTTCTTCCGTTGTATTCACGCGTCTATGGAGATTCCCATGATGATAGCGAGCATGGTGGCTTCTCCAGCGGAGCTTCCAGGGTGGTCTCCGCGGGCAATACCAGCCGGAGCTTCGCTTCGCAAGCGCCGAAAGCTCGTATTGATCGCCGTTAGCCCATTTCGTATCAAGTTCAAGCGCAAAGTCCTCGAACTTCCCACGAAGGACGAGCTTCCTTTCTCCTCGAGGATATCGCCGGGTCTTATTGAATATAGGCTGCCCTTTCGGAGAAAAAAGACTCTATTTTCTGAGGCTTTTTTTCTTAAAGAAACAACTCGAAGAATTTATTGTAGAAGTATTGTACATCGTGATGAATCTTGGTACAGCTGAGAATATCAAAGTGAAAATATACGCGACCGTAATCTCTATTCGGTATGTTTATTACATACTTTTGAGATTGATAAAGCTCACCTTATCCTCAATCTGTCTTTATCTGGAAGCGCCTCATTATCGGAGAGCAAATATTTGCCCATCTTCTTTCCTATACTTTTCTGCGGATATTTGGCTCGCTCTTCATTTCCGGCGATAAGTGTGCACTCGATCTTGCGGATATTCCAGAAGAAATTTCATTTCGTATATTTTCACGAATA